CCCTGTTCGAGACCCGCCTGCAATTTGACCCGAGCCGAGAGGGCCCGCTGCTGGAAGAGGGGCTGCGAGGGGGCTGACAGCCCGGCAGCCGCCCTGCTCCCAAGAGAGCATCGGGGTGGCAGCGAGGGGACAGGAGCTGGGGAGGATGGTGTGGCTCGCGCTAGGAGAAGCACTTGCTGGTGGCACTGCCTGGCCCTGAGCAGCGTCCGGAGAGGGGTCCAGGCTCTCCCATTGCAGCGGTGGGTGTTTGGGCTCTGCCTCAGCATCACCTGGCAATTTTTTTTTTTTTTTTACAGCGCTGATCCTAAATTATTCAAACCCAGGGCAGCTAGAGGAGGGAGGGGAAGGGGAAACAGGGACTGCCATGGTGTGTCCAGGCTCCAGGTTGCTCCGCTCATGCAGCCCGTTCCTGGGAGAGACCCACGCAGTGTGAGAGCTAGCCGGGATCTGAGCAGGAGAGGAGCCAGGGCCTTGCAGGGATGCAGGAGGAGCTGGGCTGCGCAAACATGCCTGAAGGCACTGGAAGCCCGAGTGGGAACACCTCTTGTTTGACCGCAAAGAAAGGTTCAGGCTGTTTGGAAAGCCAGTTGGAAAACTGCACTCCCTTCCCCTTATGAATGCTTTAGGATGAGCCCTGGCTGAGGGTCCCTGCAGAACTTTGCCTGGGGGACGTGGTGTGCTGGGCAGAGCCTGGGAGCGGATCCAGGAGTCCCTGGGGCTGTAGCTGGACTGACCCGCAGACCCCCCACCCCCAACCCTGTGTACATGCGGGCAGGGGCCCCACGGTGCCCATGCCGTGGGGAGTGGCAGGCATCCATGCCTGCAGGCAAGGCAGGGGTGAGCATGGCAGCCGGGGCTGTCTGCCCTGGGCGCTCAGGGGCTGCATCCGCAGGAGCTGAGCTGGAAGGTGCCAGGCTGGGAGGCAGTTCAGGAGCAGAGGGAAATACTCCACGGCAAAGGCTGGAAGAAGTTTACAGAGCACCTGAAATCAGGGGGATGCTGTGAATAGTGTGGGTGTCAGAGGTGTTGCTCTGAGAAAGTGGGGCAGGAGTGCCAGCAACTCAGCTTACCGCAGCCTTGCTCTCTGTAACTGGGCCCTCCGGGCTGAGCTCGTGCCCCCTCTGAAGGCACCTGGGTGGGAACGGGGCTGAGCCATGCCATACTCGGCAGGATGGCTCCCAGCCAGGCTGGGCAAGGGAGCAGGCAGCTCTCACCCCTTTGACTGTGCCTTCAGCCAGCCGGGCTGTGTAATTCCCTGTGACAGTTCAATGCAGAGTGAAGCCAGCAGCTTCGCGGTAGCGGACGCATGAAAGGTGAGTGTGCTGGAGCCTGAATAATGCGGGGAGCTGCTCTCTCTGGCATGCTGCCTGGGGAGCCTGGGGGCAGGGAGCAAACGCTGACCCCGGGCTCTTCACTGCACTGCTTTCCCCTGGGACACGTGGTGCATCCTGATCTCTCCATCCCAGTCCTGCCAAGCCCATCACGGAGCCAGGGCAGGTGCAATGTATTTGCTGGCTGGCTGCTGTCATGCAGATATGGGTGTCATCCTAAAGAGCAGGGCATTGGGGGAGCGGGGAAGGGGCCACCAGACTTGAGACACCAGCTCTGCATAGCAGAGTTGCCAGTGTTGGCAGCAGTGTCCCACAGAGGCTTTTGGTGGGCGGCGGAGGGGAGCCGTCGCCTGAGCCAAGGCCACCGTGGTGGGGTGGGCAGGGCCCCAGGAGCTGCACCCTTGTGTGGGTGCACCCTCATCCCTGACCTGCTCCCAGGTGCATGCACACGCATGCACGCTCCCCCCCAGCATGCACGGGTGCTGTGCTGGCAGCCGTGGGGCCAGCAGTGGGCGCAGCTCTCCCGCTCCATTTCTCCAATGAGCTCCCATGCTGTGGGGACTTTTTTTTGATGTTTAATCCGCTAGTTTAGCTCTCAGACCCCTCATGGCAGTGGGTTTGTTTTTGCTGGGCTTTTTTCTTTTCCCCCTGGATTCCTCTGGAGCCGGGGAAAGGCACCATGGCAGCTGCACCCCCCTGGCCACAGGGCTCTTCAGTGTGGGGCAGCAGCCTGCTGGGTGCTGGATAAAGGAGCCACGGAGAAATAGTGGGGTAGGGACTGGGGACCGGCACTGGAGAGCAGGACCCCCACTGCCAGCACGCAGGCAGGGAGTGCTTTGCTTTCGGGGAGGCAGGAGCAGCACAGGCCCTGGTGCAGCCTGGTGCTGGGTGCACCCAACCAAAGGGCCTTCCCTGGCTGCTGTGTAGGGTGCAGGGATCCCCGCAGAGAGCATTTTGGCTACACGCAGGGCAATGGGAGGCTGCAGGGTGGGAACAAGCCCCCAGCCCAACAGCTCCCTGGCCAGAGGCAGTTGCTGAGATGCACAATTAACGTTCCTGTTGCAATTAACACACACGGTCTAATGGGTGGCAACGAGCAGGGTGTGGGGGTGTACACCTGCACCCACACATGCGCGCACACACACATGCACACACGCAGGTGCATGTGTGCAATGGAGGCAGCTGTGGTCACTCCCAGGCAGGCTGCTTGCAGCCCACCATGCCCGCTCCTCGCTGCTACGTCACGCCCTGACCCCTCACCTGCCTCACCCTCTCCCTCCTCCCCAGGCAGGATGCAGGTCCGGGGCCTCCTCCTCCTCCTCCTGGCGCTGATCCTGCTGGCTGCCACCGCCGAGGCTGGCAAGAACAAGAAAGGGGAGGGGCAGCCTGGGGCGGGGGGGGGGGGGTAAACCCAGGCTGTGCTCTTGTGCCCCCACAGTGAGCACCCGCTCCCTCTTCCCTTGCAGAGAAGGCAAAGAAGGATAGCTCTGAGTGCGAGGACTGGCGCTGGGGACCCTGTGTCCCCAACAGCAAGGACTGTGGCCTGGGCTACCGTGAGGGGACTTGCAAAGATGAGAGTAAGAAGCTCAAATGCAAGATCCCCTGCAACTGGAAGAAGAAGTTTGGAGGTGGGTGCATGGTGGTGGGGTGGCTGGGGACCACCCTGGGCTGGGTGGCTATGGCTGATGCCCAAACCATGTGTTGGCCAGCTCTGACGCCTCTCCCGTCTCTTCCAGCTGACTGCAAGTACAAATTTGAGAGCTGGGGGGCATGTAGCGCTCAGACAGGTGTGAAGACTCGCTCTGGCATCCTGAAGAAAGCCCTGTACAATGCCCAGTGCGAGGAGATCGTCTATGTGACCAAGCCCTGCTCTTCCAAGATCAAGTCAAAATCCAAAGGTCAGTCCCACCTCTCCTGTCCCCAGAAGGGTCCTGCTGGGACCCCAGGCAAGGGCTCTCCAGGGGTAGTTTGGCCCGTTGGGGTTGGGCTTTGCTGGTGGTGTGGGATCACGTAGGATGCTCTTCCCTCTGTGTCAGCATGTGACAGCCCCAAAGTCCAGCTGCTGGCTGGGTGGGATGCAGGTGCTGCTAGGAAAATCCTTGCTCGCCCTGCAAGTCACCACCAGCTTCGGTGGGACAGGGATTCCCCCCCCTCGCCTCAGTGGGTCTGGTGCAAAATGTGGCTTTGCATGGTGGGGGGGGGCTCCCTGCAGGGATGCGTCCCCTGTGCTGTGCCGAGCCGGCCGTGCTGGCTACATTTCTGCCACGACAGTGCCTGGGGGATCAGTGAGCTGCCAGTGGGTGCACTAACTCTTGTCTCCTGTGCTTCTCGGATGCAGCAAAGAAGGGCAAGGGGAAGGACTAGAGCGGGAAGCCAGCACCCTCGTCGGCCCCTCGACACAGTGCCCACAGGGCTGGACGCCCAGCTGCAGCCAGCCCATGCTCCAGTCTTCCTCCTCCTCTCCTTCCTCCTTTCCATGACTTCCTCTTTCACTGAGATGCCTTGTTTTAATCGCTAGTGTTGTAAAGAGCAAACCCACCCACCCCACGGGAGGGGCTGCCCCCCCTGCCTGCTGCCCTGCCGCTGCGGCCCATTTGCCTCCTCTTGGCTGGTGTCAGAGTGCGCTGGGATGCACCTGGAGAGCTGGGATGGGAACACACATTTTTCCCCACTCCGGCACAAATTAGTTGTTGCCTTTAGCGCATCCTTTGGCAAGCCTAGGAGCCTCCTTGCTCCTCTGCCAGCTACTGGTGCCGGAGGGCAGGGCTGGGTGTTGAATGCCCAAGTAGCCCCATCACTCATGCACCTTACTCGCGTGAGGACTGCTATCAGCTCAAGGGGCTTCTTCCAGCATCCTTTCGGCTGGAGCACGACTTCCCTGCAGCAGCCAGGGAAAACTAAGCCACCGCCCCTAGGAACCACTGTGTCCCCTCTCCTCCATCACTTCTAACCATGTGCGTCCATGCCAGGGCTGCAGCCCCTCTGCCTTCAACATGCCAACACCAGTGCTGGGTGGGAGCTCTCACTTCTTTTGGAAAATGGGGTTTGTTTTCTTTTCCAATAAAATTCTTCTAAAAAAAAAGAAATTGGAACCCACCTGTCATCCCCATGAGGTGCTGCTGTGCTGGAAACCCCAGCAAACCCCAGCTTTGCTGACCCCACCGGGAGCAGCAGTGAACTCACTGTTTGGCTACAGTGGCAGTGGCCTTGGTGCCACTGTACGTGGTCCTGGAGAAGGTGCATGGATCAGACCTCACGGCCTCTTCTTGGCAGTGCTTCGGGCTGCCCCCCTCGCTCTCAGAAGAAGGTATGGGGCTGCCACCCACACGCTGCAGGAAATGTCACCAGTGGGTGACACTGGGGAGGAGCGACCGGGTGACGACTCATTCACTCCTCACACCATGGCCATTGGTTTCTGATCCGAGGTCTTTATTTGTCTCGGGGTGTGTTGGGCCATGATTGTAACAGTTTAAAAAAAAAACAAAACAAAACAAAAGCCTGCCAGGCATTTTGGGCACCGCTACGTGAATTATCCTAAAGGCAGTGGTGGGGGGG